TTCCAGGGCCTTGAAATCATTTTTTCAAATTCACAAACTTTCAAGGATTTCAAGGACCCGTGGGAACCCTCAGTTCGGTGTAGTTAGCACCCAGTTAGCGCCGCACCGTCTGGCCCGGTAGACTGGTAACGGGACCGAAGATTTCCCCCATAGAGTCCGCTCGGTGCTCGGTCTTCTTCTCTTATCACCTACTTCCTCGTTAAAGTCCTCACTCTGTCTCYRGCTGTTTTTCCTCCATCTCTRCCTTTGAGCTCCTCTCTCAAAGGTTCTAACAACGGCTCGGTCCACATGTCCACAGATGGACTGGAGCTCCACGTTCATCGCCTTTTTTTTTGTTGCATCAAAGACACTAAAATAACTAAACTTCACCGTTGCTTTGCATACAACTCCCTTTTTATCCCCAGAAAAGGGAGTCTGGAAWGCGTGCAGTCAGAAACAAATTCCAGCGAGAGATTAAAAGGTTTGCTGGACGGCAGAAAGACAGGGTAAATAAATGAAGCTGTGTGTGCATGTTTATAATCAACTGACCTTCCGTGAGCATGGAAGTCCAGGTGCACTGTCTTCTCCTGCGGCGACAGTGCCCTCTTTGCTCTCTGGTGATTTTTGTGCAGTTCCTCTGTGTCGTATGACAAACCTTCATAATGGCGAATGTATTTGTTCAAAGGATTTCCAAACTGACCTGAAAGAGAGTTTAATGAGTCATTATTYTTCTATATTCACTTTGTATTCCGCATTGACTCAAATAAATCTGAGCGAATGATCCTCTGAAGTGTAATAAGTCATTATAAAAAGATTTTATTAAATAATGTATTTAAAAAATGCATACTTTTATTACTCAATATGCAAATAAATTCCAGAAGCCAAAAACACTAAACTGTCTATCATTWTATGATTTCCAACCGTGCTTTTCTTTCATGCCAAAACGTCCAAATGAATAGGCCAACAGAGTCATGATGGAAAACAGAAACCTCTAAAACACTGACCAGCAACAGTTCACTCACTAGATACAATAATGTGGCATAAGGCTTTTCCAGCATAATGGCCCAAACCACTAGAGCTAATCCAGCTAGCTTTCATTCCAACCCTTTTCTTTGTTCTTTTAACAAAACAAAGAAAAGGCTCAGCTTAAAGCACAAGTGAAGGGCACATGATGCACATGAGATGACTGGAGGTTTTGATTTCAGAGTACAGCATTATTAGCATGGGAGCCAGCCAAATGAGACTGTTGCAGGTCATCAGATAATAATCTACATTCCAAGGAAGAATTGAATGCCACTATACAAATTAAACATTAAGTATCTGTGCTGTAATGATTGTAAAAAAAATTCCGACACTGTCATTTCCTGTTTTAGAGTAACTTTGTGGTGAATAGCTAATTAAATACAACATTTYTTGCAGGTTCGCTTCAAAAAGCTGTTTCAAAACAAGTAAAAAAAAAATCATTACATACATGGAAACATGATCCTGATTAAATAAACTAAATGGGATTAAATATATACTTGTGATTGTCCTAGTTATTCAAACATAAAAAAACAGCAGCAAAGCTTCATTTAAACTTTAAAGAGTGGAGACAYACTCCAAGGTTGTATAACGGAGAGCCCTAAACACTTACAAACTGACTACGAGGAGACAAACACTTGTCGTGTTGAGTAACGTTGAATTTCTATGTAATGGGAAGTTAGAACTACTAACAAGAAGAGGCAGAACAAGACCAGCAGCAACTTGTCCGTGAATGCACATGGAAAGCTAATCACTACAACCTTCCTTTCTAACATTTCCTTTAAAAACGTCAACTTTAAYACCCAGCCTGAGAAAGTCTGTTAGCAAACTTATTTGGCAAGATAAATAAACTATTAACAGGCACATAAACGTGAGGAAAAAAACATACATCTTAAAACATTTATTCTGAAAAAATTTTTTAGTGATCCGCAAGATTAAATAGTAATAAAAAAACTTTCATTTAGAATGGTTATATTTAGTTGTAAACAGGTAGCATGGACACAGATCTGTGTCTACTTGATTCATTCTGCACATTTGAAATAAACTGTCAAATATAAAAGCATATTGTTCCTAAGGTCTTGATATAGTTCTGATGGAAATTACACATAAAAAAATTAAGATATGCTACTATTTTACAGTCCTGTAATGTACAAATAACCTGTCTGATCACAAAAAGTGCAACTTAATGATTTATGGGTTATTTAGGTGACCAAATTAAAACACACTTTATTTAAATTACCTGTATTTATTTCCAGTAGATGACTGCTTAGTTGGATGACTTATTTGCAGATTTGGACTATATTGCTAGCATTTAATGTTAAAACAAAAAGCAGTAACATTGTTTAAAAATGATGGTAGTTCTGGTAAATATACTGCTCAAAAGAATGAGAATAATGTAAATATTGAAACATGAACTGTTCTGCAGAAGAAGAAGAAAAGTGCTGACACACTTTCCTGATAACCCTGAGCATCATTACAGGCAATGTGACTAACTGGTATCCTCACTTATTACTTTTATTTCGTAACTATTAAAAAATGACTATTTTTAAAGCTTTGCCTCTGGGTAATCATATGCCTGTCGTCAATCGACGCAGTTTGCATAATTGATCAATAAATGCAGCGAATTAAAGTAAAATTTCACTAAAAGTAGCAAATATTTCAAGAGCTAAATGTCAGATCATCAACGCTGACAGTTTCCCACCCACGACCAAGTGTCAAAAAYCAGAGCAGTAACCGCTGTGCATCAAACTATTTTACTTAAAAGTATACTTATCCTGTGGTCGTTGTTTAAACTGCGACGAATAAACTCAGGTTAAAACCGGGAAACTTTCCACTTTTCATTAATGTTAGCCTCTAAGCTAGCAAGATAGCCTTAGATTGCTACATACGCTTTAACGGTATCACTGAAAACTTTACTTTCTCTTCCAGTTTACTTGGAAACTTACCTCGTATCTCATGAAGGCAGAAGAATATAAGAAATAACTTGAAAAATAACATATCGAAGTGAAGTTTGACCAGGGACTCAGCGACACTGCTGAATGACTGCTTGTTCTCTTATCGTTTTCTTTCGCTACTACTGCCGTCGCCCTTCCTTGTTACTTGGCTTCCATAACAAATACACCGGGGCTCTGTCTGTCTTCTTCCGCAGCGCGACACTACAAACCATGCTACAAACAGTCAGACAGACAGAAAAGGCAGTTCCTCCTCCCTTCCGGTGTGGTTCACCAAGAAAGAACACCCCCTCCCTCCCAGTGACAACAAAAACATTTCACCTCTTCTTTGTCTCTTCAGGTGTTGGCGGTTGACAAACTGCCTGAAAGTTATTAGCGCCACCTGCTGGTGACAAAGTCGACCAGCACATGAAAAATGTGTACAGGTAAACTTATTCATCAAAACATTTTTTTTATGAAACACTGGTACTTTACATAAACAGTACTCATACAAATTACAAATAAATCATTAAGTTATAAGTTGAACTGCAAAACTCACTCACAAAATTCACTATTGTAGTGGTCAGCTAGAGGTGGAATAAACAGTTCCACCTGTCTTTGACCTTGGTCTCAGAAGGCTTCCTTCAGAGAGACAGAACTCTGTTCAAATTAAAGTCATAATAATAGGTAACCAACCAGTTGCAATAAGAATAAAATTACAACATTGATTAATTTCTTTCCATATAGTGAGCCAATACTTGCCATTCTGAATGTTTATCTTTATCAGTGTGCATTGTCAATGCAATGCACACTATTGTGATTCGTTTCCCATCCAAGTCATCTCAACTTTGCCATGCTTCTCTTCCTGCATACTTTGTCCTAGAGCTGCCATTGTAATTTATATCTGTAAAGCCCCTGTGCTAAATGATGGCTATGCCTTTTGGTGCCTGTAAAACTTATAGTTTTTTGAAATAATAATAATATTTAATAAATTATAATGGCAGTCAAAGGAGCCTTGTATTGGTCCAATACTGGCCCCTGCTGCATCTACACAATATGGTAATGTGCCATAGTTTCATAATATTTGAACTCAGTAGTTCAGTGATTACAA